TGTATTGAAAGTCCTGATGCCATGATACCCCAAACAGCTAGTATCTGTTGGCTCCTTTGTGTACTTCACCGACAAGCGTTGCACTCCACAAATGCTTGCAGAAGACTCAAACAAAGTTTGCTCACACAGTTCTGTGCACTTCTAGTAACACACACACGATATTGATTATATTAAAACCTTCCGAGTAATTGCTTATGAGGCAATTGTTTGGAATACACAAACAGACACGTAAGTGGCCCTTGACTTCATTAAGACTTGATTTCCTTAGCAGTTCAAAGTTGATGAAGTCAGAAAAGCCACAATCATCTTGATAAAACGTAAAATTGCCCTAAGGCATTTTTTCCCAAATGTTACTAAGAACAAAGCAATATTCTTGAGAATAACTTGTTACTTTAGCTACAGATAATTAAACTTCCCCCAGGTTTGCACCAGTGCATTGAATCTTGACCTTAGAAAGTTTAAATCATTTTGAAATAAATACCTTTACAACAATTGAATTTAGAAAATTTTATTTCATACTTTTTTATAGTTTTCTCACCATCACACCTTCATTCTTCATATTTTCTAAACATGCTAATCATATTTGTAAACTTTTATTTTGTTTCATGTGTATGGGTGTTTTGCCTCTGTGTGTTTATATGGACCACACATGTGCAGTGCCCACAGAGGCCAGCAAAAGGTGTTAGATCCCCTGGAGCTGGAGTTACAGATGGTTGGAAGTCACTATGTGAGTGCCGGGAATCGAACCCTGGCCCTCTGGAAGAGTAGACAGTGCTCTTAACACTGAACCATTTTTCCAGCTCTGCTAGTTAGTATTAACCTCAATAACATTAATCTTGGGGAAGATCCAGAAAAAAAGCAATCTTAGAACTCATTTCTCTATGCATTAGTAATCTATAAAAACACATTTGTTAATAGTCCCAAAGACTCTACAAAGTGGAGCTGAATCCGGATGAAATTTATGATGAAATGGGACATGTTAAGACCACCTGTCTTCACAGGCAAGCTTGACGATGCCTGTTGCTAGCCTCTAAGGAGTCAACAATAACTTGCCTTTAAAATGACCAGTTTTATTCTTTATCCTTCAGCTCCATGCTAAGAGAGCAATTCCTGCAGAGTGAGGCTCTGGTTAAGACCTTGAGTAACAGGCAGATTCAGAAATGGGAGGGGGTGGGCAAAAATGTAGAGGAAACAGCCCCTATATATTAGTGCCATGAGGAAGGCACAAAACCATGCCCAAAATATTTATGATACTTTTTTTTTTATTTTCGAGACAGGGTTTCTCCGTAGCTTTTGGTTCCTGTCCTGGAACTAGCTCTTATAGACCAGGCTGGCCTCGAACTCACAGAGATCCACCTACCTCTGCCTCCCGAGTGCTGAGATTAAAGGCCACCACCGCCCGGCTATTTATGATACTTTTTACACATACATACTTTTAATTAGTCATGACAAGAATAAGTTGAAAATAAGCAAAACCCAAGTAGCCATATGTTTGCATATGTTTGCAGAGATCCACCTGCCTCTGCCTCCCGAGTGCTGAGATTAAATAGCCACCACCGCCCGGCTATTTATGATACTTTTTACACATACATACTTTTAATTAGTCATGACAAGAATAAGTTGAAAATAAGCAAAACCCAAGTAGCCATATGTTTGCAACTCAGGTATTTTAAATAATTCTAGGAAGAGGGGAAGATTTCCACCATGTTCTCTTGGGTTACATGTTCATCTAGGTGACTGAGGCAAGAATTGATTCTAGTGAGTTGTTTTGTCTCATTGCCATGTAATGGAAAGTCCTTCCCGGAGTGCCATAAATGGGCCAGCTAGCAACTCTTGGGGGGTCACATCCTGTGCCCCAAGTCAGGTTTGGCCACCTGCTCTCAGTAGGACAGTTGAAAGAGCCAAATTAATAGGGGAAAGCAGGGAAAAGAACTGATGTGGCCTAGTTTTCATTCTTTTGCTGTGTTAAAAAAAAAACTGTGATCAAAAGTAATACAGGAAGAAAGGGATTTATTTGGCTTACACTGCCAGCTCACAATACATCGTTGAGGGAAGTCTGGGCAGGAAGTACCGATGAAGAAATACTACTTGCTGGCTTGCTCACTAACTTCCTTACATAACCTGGGACCACTTGCTTACGGATGGTGGCAATCAGAATGGGCTAGGCCTCCTGCATCAAGATAATTGATAATTATCAATTGATAATCAAGACAACTTTCTCATAGACATGCTCACCTGATAAAGATAATGATTCAATTTAGACTTTACTTCCCAGGTGATTCTAGACTGTGTCAAGCTGACAATTAATGCTAACTATGACATGGGGCATGGGGCAAGAGGGATGCATAACTGAGCAGTCCTGGTCAATATGTGGTCTGATTGACCATTGTCTCAGCTCTGGTTCTGACAGTTATCTGATCAGGTCAAGGAAGTCCTTACCTCTGCCTCCACTTGAAGTGATCAGGCTGGTTCTCACAAGATAATTTCTGCTCCAAGGTATGGCCTTATCTTTGTGGATAATTACCTTCATCTGGCAAGTGGATGATTCCCTAACTGCCTGTTACAGGGGGCACCATTGTAATGGACTGCTCTGTCCCTTTAAGAGACAAGCCATGCCCCTGCCCCTGCTTTCTTCTCCCTCTCAAAGAGGCAGCTTCTGTCTCTCCCCACTTCTCCCCTCTCCCTTCTGTCTCTTCTCTCACTCTCTCTCTCTCTTTCTCCCCGCCTCTCTCTCTTCTCCCTTTCTTCCTTTCCCCTTCATTTCCCACTAAATAAATATCCAACCTCACTCTGCATGGCTTATCCATGTCTCTGTCTCTCGCCCACCACTTGTCTCCCTGCCCGGGACTAGACACCATCAGAGACCTGGGCATGGTCTCCTGGCATGCCCATCTGTCCATCTCTCATTGTGGAACTGGCTGCCCCATTGAGGTTTCTCACCCACCACGCAGCTCCCTGCCTGGGACTCGTGGCTCTGGGACTGGCTGATCATGGGACCCACTGCCCACTGCTGCTGCTTGAGAACCTGCAGTGCTTCTGCTGCTGCAGCCACTCAGAGATCCGCAGCAATTTTACTTTTACCATTACAACCATGGCACCAAATACATCCTCCTGACTGTGCTCTTGCTCACTCTGCTGTAACCTCTCACCTAGTCTGTAAGAGAGACTAATGAGGTACTTGTCATGCCCTTAGCCCTCAGCTTCGCTGGCAGTTTGGGCCAGAAGAAGGCCACAACACATTCTTCCAGCATTTGCACTCATCCTGACCAAGATCACATCTTTAGGACTTTCTGAGTAGTACCAGATGCATGCTTACTCCTACTGTTCCAAGTCCATTCTTCTTCCTGCCCCAGGTGGGTGGACTCTGTTCTCTTCCCTTACCCTCCAGACTCACTGAGGATACCTCCTCCTCCATGTGCTCAGTCTCTCACAGGCTAGGCTTAATGGTCAAGGTAACAGTCCCAGGACAGATAAGTGTAAGACATGTGTGTCTTACAAAGTATTTTTACCAATCTTTAAATTTTGAACAATTTGACGGCATATTAAACTCAAGAGCTCCAATCCCTCCTCTTGTTCATAGAGCTGTAAAGTAGACCTTGCTTTAGAGGCTACAGACACTGCACCGATCAAACCAACCTTGTCAAAAGGGCCTGATACTCAACAGGCAACTCTATTTTGAATTAGCATGTAAGCACCTGCTTCTCCCAATAGTGAAAAGTGAGAGTAGAATGACCCCATTTCCCACTCAGGAACAGAAGGGCTGTGCCCTGGAACTCCCTTCCTTTATGTGGGCGGCTTGCCATCTCTTTAAGAACCTAATCATTTAATTCCATCATGGCCAAGGCTCTTTCCTCATTATGTGAGTTTGAAGGGCAAAAAAGCAGGGAAGGAGAGGAAAAAGGAAAGAGAGAGAACAGGAGCCATGTCATAGTCACAGAATCACAATGTCGTTTATGTGTGCTCCATTCTTTGAAGCAATCAACAGTCCCCCTTGCTCTAGACTTAGGGGTGGAAACATAGCACCTGCCTCTTGGAGGAAGAAGCATCAGTGATGTTATAAGCACACACAAAAGAGAAGATGGCTACTGTGTGATCATCTCTGAAAAGTTCAACCTGTCTCAGCATTCCTCCCTCACCCTCTGGCCCAAGAGGCTAAGGATGTATTCACACAATAATATCTCTTCTGCCCTAGCCCTGTCATTAGCCACTGAGGCACGCTGGCCAGACCACTTTGCTTCCATTTCATCCAATGGTTGTTAGAAGGATTTAATTCTACTAAGTAGTGAATCAAAGGAACATGGCATGGGAATTAATGCAGACTATCTCCTCAGTAAATGGTAGCTTCTGTGTCCATCCACTTCTGCCAATTCATCTGTTAGAACACAGTTGGGTTCTAAACCCAGCCTGCCTGGATTTGGATTTTTTTCCCCTGCCACTCACAAGCTGTGTGATATTGGGCATGTCATTTTACCTCCAATACTTCATTGCTTCCCTGAATTCTGTCTTTAAAGGACTTGATATTGCCAGGAGGTGGTGGCGCAGGCCTTTAATCCCAGTACTCTGGAGGCAGAGGCAGGCGGATCTCTGTGAGTTCGGAGCCAGCCTGGTCTACAAAGTTTGTTCCAGGGCAGCTAGGGTTGTTAAACAGAGAAACTCTGTCTCAAAAAACCAAAAGAGAGAGAAAGAGAGAGAGAGAGAGAGAGAGAGAGAGAGAGAACTTGATATTAATTGTCACATAGCAAAGTTGCAGGAAAAAAAACCTCCCAGTTTTAACTACTTATGCAGAGGAGCTCACTGCCTAGTGGAGACTTCCCCATGCCAGGAACTTTCATGGAAAGAAAGTAAGAAGTTGCTGCTTTTACAGACAGGGAAACTGAGGCTTGACCCATCCATATGGAGAGTGATGGTGAGAATTGCACAAGACCCCAGGACTCTGGGGTCACACAGATGAGTGTTATCTAATTTATCAGCTGTTGTCTCCACAGGTGCTCGCAGTGAACATGAGACTCTTGTGGATGTTCCTCTTCCTTGGCTGTCTGGTTAACAAGAGACATCTTTTATTCAGCTACAGCTTAGGTGAGCCACCCCATCCTTCTTGGAGGTTATGTCCAAGGAAACATCCCAAAAGACAAATTGACATCTCTCCTTGTAGCTGACCCATCAGAGTAACAAGATCTGCCAGTGTCTCCAAAAGCTTCTGGAGGCACTGTACTCTCTCTTAGAGGCATCTTGTCCCTTTTGGACCACATCTTGTCATCCAGATCACCTATTTGATGTAAACTACTTTCTTTCCATTATTGATTGTCTCAACATAGTCTTCCATTTTTATACCCGCTTCCCAGGTAGGTCTTTCTAGCCTTCAGCTCTAATGATCAAAGTTTTCCCTAAAGAGCAAAAGCCTCAGTTCTGGCGCCCCAACATTGTAGGTCCAGCCACGGCCACAATATGCTCATTACAGACATGAACAACGGTGAGCAAAGCAGAGAGGGGAGATTTAATGGACGCATTTCAAAAGGAACAAATAAAGGAGTCTAGTGCTCCCCACAAGTTCATCTTTAGGGCTCTAGCAAGGGGCAAGAGGACTGTATGATGAGGATTCAGGATCAAGGTGTGGTCTAGTTCATCTTTGTCTCCATCCTGGTTCTATAGGGTGTTCTGAAGCTGTTACTGGTGTCATTACTCAAGGAGATTCATCTGGTTCTCACAAGACATCACTTCTGCTCTGGGGTGTGGCCCCCACTCATAGACAGTGGTTCTCATCTGCAGAGGGTCTGTCTTTTGAGGTTTGCTCTTCCTGGAATCCAGTTTAAGACAACGACCTATCCCTGTGCCTTCAACCGTACAGGGTAAAGAGCTAAGTTAGGGGGACAGATGATTGACATGTCCAGGAGGCAGAAAACAGGAGTCTGAGCCAAAGTCAAAAGCCCAGATGCCAAGCCAGGATTCTATCCTGTGGCCTCAAGCAGTCCTTAAGTGCCTGTTACAAGAACATAGGCAAGGGCTTAAGCAGCTACTAGGAGAACACACAACACAGACTTACAGCTTCTGGTCTTATGACCAAGCCTTTACAAACCACTCCTACCTTCTGGGTCTACAGCTTGGCTCCATTATCTCTGAAGAGTTCTCACCTTGAACCACACTCCTTGAGATTCTATCTTAGGTCTAATTTTGATGGAAAGAACAGAAATTTCATCTGACAAAAGGAAATATATAGTTGGGAAAAACATTGATTAAAAGGGGAGAAGAGCTGTCCTATCTATGATTTCAGACATCCTCTGGGGCTCCTAGGTTGCTAAAGCCAAGATATAGAAGTAGGAGGATAGCCCAGTACTAGAAACAAGTGCTTACCCAACATTAACAAATCCCCGGGTTTCATCCCCAGCATTGAAATAGAAGAATAAAGTGTGTGTGTGTGTGTGTGTGTGTGTGTGTGTGTGTGTGTGTGTAAATCAAGATCAGGGAAGCTGTGAGCAGTCAAAGCAGCTACTTCTCTTCACCCTAGATGACCCAGTGTGGTCCTCTATCTGACTTTTCATTGCCTCCTGAGCTCAGGTGCAAGACCAAACCTTGGTTTTCCTTTTGTAAGGAAGCTGGCTCCAGGGTATGATCACAAGTGGCCTCGGGTTGAATACCTAATTTCCTGACCCCAATGGGAGCTTGTGTCCCAGGACTGAACCATGTCTTTGTATCAGCAGGCTTTGGAATTGGAGACAATAGTGGGCTGTCTACAGATCTTCTTGCTGATGACAAAAGTGAATACATTGATCTTGGAGCCAACAGTGAAAAACTGGCTCCTCTGACTATTGCTTCATCTGTAAAGGTCCCTGAAGTCAACCAAGACAGTGTGAGTGAACTTGATAGTCTCAAGGTCACTGTTTCAGACTCCCTGGACACAAGTGGCATCACCAGCCAAGTATCCTTTGGTCAGTTGGGTCAAAAGAGTATAAGCAGTCCTGTATATTAAGGTCACAAGTGCTCAAGATAGTCCAGCCTTTCAGTGGCAGATGTCACGAACTTCACAGGCAAGGGCTACCATTATGATGCTCATCCAAGAAGTGCTTCCAGGTCCGAGGTGGTAGCTCTGGTCTGTCTGGGGCTGTGTTATCTGGTGGCCCAGGTTAATCTGAAGCAGGGTCAACAAATGGTCGGCCTGGGATTGGGTCATCTGGTGACGTGGCTCAGTCTGAGCAGTTTGAACAAATGGCCTGACTCGTGGTGATAGGTCATTCCGGTTGTTGTGGTGAAGGTGATGTTGGATCAATTTTATGGAAGGTTTGATCAGTCTGGAGCAGGACTGACAAATATCTACTATGGATTTAGGATGGATAGTCAAGGGATGATCAGTTGGGAGCTTGGTTTTCTGGGGATCTATTTAATCTGGAACAGGATTAGTGAGCGGTTTTCCTGGATTTGAGTTTGTCCAATGGCCTTAATCAATCTTGATCATGAATGGTTATTCAGTAGTCACTGTTAGTTTGGGCTTAGGGTATCTTTTGGTTTTGGTCCCTCGGGCTGTAGGTTACATAAAGATTATGCAAATTCTAAGTCAAGGTCATCCTTGTGTTAGAAATTAAAGCAGGTTCACTGAAAGGTGCTGACAGGAAACTACCTTTGGATGAGCTTTAAAAGGAGAGTCACAGGCTCAGCACCAGCTATAAGTCTCAGATGTGGAAGAGCATTCTGGAGAGAGATATCACTAAGGTCACAGGCAGCCATAATTTGGCCTTGAAGTGAGAGAGGACCTTTCCTTCAAAATGATAAGACAAAAGTGTCTGATTCTTATAGGTTTCCAGGGGTGAGTGGGCAAATCCCATATCATATGTACTAGCCTGGTCTGGTTATGTGCCAGAGTCTGGAAGGCATTGATAAAAGTAAAGTTATAACTCAAGACTGACCTGGGTCTAGATATCAGCGGATGTGGATGGGCTCAAAGATGTGAGAGAAGGAGAACTGGATGTGGCAGAGGTTCAGTATGCTCTCTTATGACCTTATGACCTCTGTCTGGAGAGAGCTGTAGCCTGCCACCCTGGATCAAGGTTTGGTATCCCTAAATGCTCTGGTCTCACTGGGGAAGTACCATCTGAAGATGTTGTCCACGTGAAGGTTCCAGAGGATTATGGGGCTGCCCCCATCAGTTCATCACGATTAATGTGAGGGCACCATTTGAGAGAGCTGGCAACCTCCTTAACCAATAGTTGTCAAAACCTGTCCTCAACCAGGACATCCTGAGCCAGGAAGGGCTGCTGAGCGCTGTTATTCTCAACAACCAGAATCTAGCCCTGGAGAGAGAAGAGCTACAGACGCTTCTCCTGGGTGGCAGTCTATCATTTGGTATCAAAAATGACCTCCTGGAGGCAGCAGGGACCAAGGCTGTGGAAGGCCTGATCTGCAAGGGCTCCCTGGGAGGCCTTTGTGGCCATGGAAGTCTCTCTGGCATGAATGATGTTCTGAAGAACATGAATTCTGGGAAACTCAATGGCTGGTGAGTTTGAGTTCTTTAGCAATAAAACGACTCTATAAAGCATTGATCAGAGATGGTTCCAGACTCCCGGAAGACTTTGGTCGGATTGACTCTCTTTAAGAAGTTGGCACTGGGAAGTCACCACCTGCTCTTCCAAAGCCTTAGTGGCTGCCTAGTGTTTCTCTAATGTGGTCCAACTTTTGGGTTTATGTGAGCTTATCTGAGCTCTGCTATATTCTAAGTCACACCAGGAAAACATATCACAGATGCTCTGACCACTTATCTCTTATCACCTGTCCCCCAGTGAGTAAAAGAATCCCTTTGTTTCAAGATAATCCCATAGTTACCAGATGAGGCTTTCAACAGGGTATCTGCATTTTCTCTTACCATCTTAATCAACTGCAAAGACAGTTAATGGCTGACACTTTCCTGGTTTAGGATTTGTAGGAATGGGACTCAGAACAGAAATCAAGGTTAAGGAGGGACAGGCATGGAACAGAGGGAAGGGCAGCCGCTACAACCTGAGCAGAGAGCCAAGGAGACCAAACTGACTTTTCTGCTTCACCTCACTGTTCCTCTTCTGCAGGCTCAATGTCACCCGCTTCGATATTGTCCAATTGTCATGGAAGGTCTTTGCTTCATCTAGCCTTGAACTTGAACTTCAGACCAAGTTGACCATCAACTTTTCCGGGTGAGCAAAATGAGGAATGTTATGGTGTGAATCGGAACTGTCCTCTGCAGGTTCACTCTTTGAACTCTAGTGTGGTTTTGGGGTGCCTTGGAACATTTAGGAGTCAGGCTGAAGTTTGTCACTGGAAGCAGGCCTTGGAAGATCACAGCCTGTCCTTGAGCTCCAGCGGCTCTCTTCTCTGCCATGACATGAGCTAGTGTCCTCCACCATATGATCCCATTGCCATGCCTTCCCCAGCAAAAGAATTGAAATGTTTCTAAACTGTAGATCAAAACACCATTTTCTGCCTCAAGCTCTTTCTGTTGGACATTTGATCACAGTGATGCAAAGTAACTAACATGGTGAGAAAAGCAAGCGGAGGAAAGTCCTAGAGATAGCAAGTGGTTTTTTTTTTGGTGGTCTTTAGTTTTTCTTAGCATTTTCAAAAGATCTTGATACTGTCTGAATACGTATACAGTTTCTTGGGATGGCAGTAGTGGCAGGACAGAGATGCAAAGAAAGCTTTTTGCTTTTCTGCTGCATTCTGAGTCTGTGTTGAAGCAAACTTGGGGAGAAAATTAAAATGCAAAAGAAAACAGCCTCCAATCTTACAAAAGAGAGGCAGTGGCCTTTAAGATCTCAGTTGGTGTCTTTTCTGTTCTTTTCCCACAACCATTCTGAAAGATAATAAACACCACCCACAGCATGGTGTTCGTGAGCTGTCCTGTAACTAACACCAGGTTGTTCACACAGTCTTTTGAATAACTCTGTGATCAGTTCAAGTAATGAATCTGTCAACTCTCCAATTATTAGAAAGTCTCTTGAGTACAATTCATATCTATCTATCTATCTATCTATCTATCTATCTATCTATCATCTATTTATTTGCTGTGCTGGGTGTTGAACCCAAGACCTCATATAAACCAGGCAAATATTCAGTTACTGAACTATATCACCACCCTGTAATTTATAGACTTTGATAACCATTGCTAAATTATCTTACAGAGACCTGGCAATTGTGACGAAATGTGTCTAGCATTCTTGAGTACTTCACACAGCCCAGGTTGTGGGGTGGTAGTTCCTCTGAGTTCTCTTCTCAATTCCTACCGTAGATCTCCAAGGGACGGAGATACTGCATCCATTTTACCAAACAGCCAATAGGACCTCAGAGACATTCAATCGGATTACACATAAAGACAGGGAAAGCGCTCGTTTGGAAAAATGCCCGTGACACAAGCTTGACGACACAAGTTCAGACCTGGGCCAGGATCTGTGCCTGTCACCCCAGTGCTGCTGAGGACAGAGATAGAGGGATCCCTGAAGCTTATTGACTGGTAGGCTAATCCAAATACATGAGCTTCAGGAACATACCATCAGATATGCATACACACCAACACACACACTACACACACAAACTGAATCACCATATTTCTCTCTCTCTCTTACATACATCATCATCATTGCCATCATACATACACACCGTCACATGCACACCATCACACATGCACACACATAAACAATTATACACACACATTGCACGTGAATGGTTGTGGGCACACATGTAACTCCAGGAGAAGATACTAATACTGGTGATACTACCTGAGTTCAGCAGAGCTACTGGTGGACAGGGTAGAGGGCAGCCTTCCACTAACACTTTTTATCTTTGAGTTTTAAGCTATGGATAAGCATTACCTATTCAAATAAACTATTTTATTGATTTTATGTATATATATATAATAAAACAAATAAAATTTAGACATAGGAAATTAGGAATCCTTTTTGAATTATATCTATCAGTCACCTCTCACCCACAAGTATCTACCCCTCTTTGCAAGTTACTGTAAAACCTTTAGAGTGGTCCCAGACATGCACGTGACATCTAACAGCCTTCTCCCATGCAGACATGCACGTGACATCTAACAGCCTTCTCCCATGCAGACATGCACGTGACATCTAACAGCCTTCTCCCATGCAGACATGCACGTGATATCTAACAGCCTTCTCCCATGCAGACATGCATGCGACATCTAACAGCCTTCTTCCATGCAGACATGCATGCGACATCTAACAGCCTTCTCCCATGCAGACATGCATGAGATATCTAACAGCCTTCTTCCATGCAGACATGCATGCGACATCTAACAGCCTTCTCCCATGCACCCAGGATGCTCAAATTTCTCAGTGGCTCCACCGTGGATGTGAACATCATGGTCCCCTTGAATTTGGAACAGACTGAGCCTGGTCAAGTCTCATTTTCTGTGAAGAGCTGCAAAGCAGTATTCACTGGGATCCAAGTCGAGACAGGGTAGGTAGAAACCCAGGAAAACTGGGTACCAGCAAACAGAACATGGTGTGCGATGGTGCTATGCATAGAGTAGTCACCAGTCTCCCTGGTATCTGACCAAGATGCTAGCAAACTCTACCACTAGTGTTTCCTATTTTTTAATTCCCTCCTTCCAGTCAAGCTTCTGTCTCAAGGATCTTGGAATCCCAAGCAGAAGGGGATTCCTGTGGGCCAGAAGCACAGACCTCCCTGACAGTATCCACTTGTGGAGACTACTGGGTGCTCCTTTTTCCAAGTTCTCATGGAGAGATCCTGGGTAGGAGTTTTGCCACATCAATTTTCACACTAGCCTGTCATTCCTGACGTGCCTGTATGAGCTCTGTAGGGAAGAAGTTGCCTTATATTCATCATGCATTTCTGCAGAACATATTGAGCTACTAGATACTGTTGTTCCTGGAGACACACTGGGAAAAAAAATCATGGGAGTGAAAATGAGGGGGAAATGAAGGGAAAGCTGGTTGGATGAGAAGTGGATGGATGGATGGAAAGAAGGAAGAAAGGAAGGAAGGAAGGAAGGAAGGAAGGAAAGAAGGAAGGAAGGAAGGAAGAAAAGTGAGGACAAACATGCATGGATAAATTCAGGGATGGATTAAAGAAAGGGTGGGAAAATGTAATCTTAAAAAGACATTAGTGGCTGGGCGGTGGTGGCGCACCCCTCTAATCCCAGCACTCGGGAGGCAGAGGCAGGCGGATCTCTGGGAGTTCGAGGCCAGCCTGGTCTACAAGAGCTAGTTCCGGGATGGGCACCAAAGCTACAAAGAAACCCTGTCTCGGAAAAAAAAAAAGACATTAGTGGTCTACCTGAGAGATCTAAGCTAGGTTCACGGGGGAGGTCTGAAAAACACATACTTGTTTAATTTAACAAAGTGGTTCTAACCTTTCTAATGTATTGACACTTTAATACATTTCCTCTTGTTGTGGTGACCTGCAACCATAAAATTATTTTGATTATTACTTCATAACTTAATTTTTTCTATTGTTATAAATCATAATAGAAGTATCTGATATGCAGGATATCTAATATGTGACCCCCGTGAAAGGGTTGTTCAGCCACCAAAGGGGTCACAGCACACAGGTTGAGAACCGCTGATTGAACAACAGAGACATAATCATTTTTCAGATTGTACAGCACAGTATTCAAAGTCCTAGTGGTGATGATCATCATCAGTGTTACCCTTTCCCTTCCTCAGCATGTTCTCCTCAATGATGGAATCGATGATGAAGTGGTCCTTGAGCATGTCCTTGCCCAACATAGTAAGTCTGACAACATGGCCCCGACAGACGCTGAACACAAGATATGGAGAAGGCTCTGTAGCTAGCGGGATGGAGGACTAACCCATGTGGGCATAAGCCTGAGCTGTGTAGAGTCTCTTTCCTGTCCTTTTTCACAACCCCTGTTTCTGAAGAAGGGACAGAAAAAAAGACAACGTTTGAGAGGTGATTGTAGCAGACAGCTTAGGTCTGTGTAAGAGGAAGATTGTGACATGTTTATAATAGACTTTCTCCATCCTGCAAAGTGTCCTAGATTACAAAGATTGATTCGGCATGTAAATACTCATCAGGTATGGACAAGTACCCTCTTAGCAAGGCCTCCCATCCTTTGTATTGCAGTTGTGCCCAGTGGTCCGATTCTGGTTTTACATCGTCAACCAACAGTTGGTCATCCTGAAAAGTAAGTAGAGCTGTTGCTTGCACACCGCTTTGTTGTATTGACTGCTACGGTAGCCACAGTACCGACTCCTATACAGCTGAAGACAGACCTTTCTGAGTCACAACTCAGATCCCCATTTCTTGGGGAATCAATTTCACGCCTCAGGGCATGTTGTCAAGGTCTTTTCTGAAGCTGTCCCTAGTGTTCCCCTCATCTTCCTTTAGTGGAGTACCCAAGCCGCCTCCATATACTTCCTAAGGTTTGAGGACATAACGGCTGAGTTCTGCAGGACTTCCCACTCCAGCTACTGATGCCTTAAATATCCCTTCTTCCTCCAGTGTAATCACCATGTTTGGTTCATCTCAAAGCCTTTAAAGCTCTCTCCCAGCAAAGCCCCTCCTCAGGACCCCTACAACCTTTGGGGTGTGTCATCATTCACTGCATTGTGTGAAATGTTTACTTCCTGGCTGTCTTTTGCAGTAGGCTGGAGCTCTTTGAGGGGGACTTGCCCTTCCATTTCTCTCACAGTCCAGATTGGGGACAGAGTAGACCTCCCCTCCCCCCCCAAATAAACTCTACTGGTGCATGAAATGGAAAGGGAAGGAATGGATGTGGTGGACATGAGTGAACGGGAAAGCAGAAATGGGAATGAGAGACAGAAAATGGTGAGAAGAAGATGGAGTGGTGGACACTTAGGAGGATGGGGCGGGGTTGCGGTGGATAGTGGAAGGCAGAAGGAGTGATGGAAAGATAAAATAAAATACAGACAAATGGGGATGGAGGGAAAAGGAAACAGAAATAAAGGGATTTGAGGAAAGGGGAAAGGGAGGATTGATGGACAAAGAGCAATGGCGTTGCAGTGTGCATGCATGATATATTACTGATGGATAAGTGATAGATGGAAGGAAGGGTCTGTTAGCAGACGGGTAGGAAGACAAGGGGAGGTGAGATGGACTGTGACCAAGTCAAGGGAAAAGTAAGCTACTGAGATGGGAAAAGGGGGAAGGAAAAATGGGCAGATGAGTGGAACGAGGCGTGGAAGGGAAGTGGCAAGTGTTGTAGGAGGGAAGGAAGGAGTCTGGCGGGCCTGAGAAAGGAGAGGTCTACCTTGTAGGAGAGGTGGTTTGCCATTGCCAGTCCGAGAGCACCCATCACCCTGGATGGATGACGGTGGGGTTCCGTGTCCTCAGTGCGCACTCAACAGCTGGGGATTAATCTTGACAGGGATGACAAGGGAGATGTATGAGCCTCTGTTTTCATCAGGTGAATGTCTCCTGTCTTCCAAGTTCTTTCCATTGTTTCCTGCTTCTTTTTCTCCATCAGATATTGCTTCCTTCGGGATGTTGGGAGACAACAACCTGACCAGTACCCCACAGCCTCTACTATATGAACGCTCTTACCACATGGATTTTAAGGTATGAGTAGCCAGTTCTGTTGAGGACTCAGAGGACCCGGGTCTCCCCACCTGAGGTCTCCTTGGTTGGGATATGTGTCCAAGCGGCACCATTAAGAGAGCCAGCCTGAGCTTTGATTTTGAATGGCTGTGTAGCCACAAGCACCATGCCCTCACATCTGAACCGCCGTTTTCTTGTGGCAGGTAGGGTAATTTTCATAGCTACACATTTATCACCGTGTCTCTTCCAGGATACCTGCTTCCCTATGTCATAGCATACCTCAAGTTGGTGTCTTGTATTCAACAGGAAAGCATAGTTGAACTGGCAAGTTTTACAATGTCTTACTGGCCCATTAAGTAACATGTACTTCGATTGATGGTGCTCAGTACTGTAAATATGATTCGGTGAGAAAGGGCCTGGCACACGTGGAACAGAGTAGGAACTATAAAACTATTGACTTACTCTGTTTTGCCATTGATTTAAAAATAAACCAATCAAGTTTATTTCTTGGCATCTTCATACACAGAGCCTTCAGGGTGCTGGGGCAGTCATTCTGGTGGCCTTGGCTATATCCTCCCCACCCTAGCTGTCCAGGCTGAGATATGGCCAGGAACTTGGGGCAGTTCCTGGGTTCTTCTACAAGGTGGGATCTCGGGGTCAATAGTCCACTGCCTCTCAGCCCTCAGAAGTGGGGCAAAGTCTGGAGTCAAGAATTTAGGAACAGTGTTGTGACCGTTCAATGTTAGGCCTGGGCAAAGCCATTACCATCTCCAAGTCTGCTTTTTTTTTGTCTGTTATCCTCATGTTGCAAAGTCGGTGCCATGTTTACATGGAACACCGAGCCTGGAACACAGTAGGTATACACTTGCTATGAGTTTTTTGATTTTTGCTTTATTTTTCCAGGACAAAAGCTTCCCAGGCTCTTTCATCAATTGGCTGATTAAAAGTAAGTTTTCTTTTTCATATTCATCCCAGAATGCCCCAATACCACCTCCCTCTTCAGTGTTGAATATCCCATGGGAAGGATACTGAAAACAGGTATAAATAAAATCATGAAGCCATAGAACAAATGCCTGGATCAACCTTACCGCAGCTGGGCTCCTGGAAAGTCAACTCTACAGTATTACACTGGGGTTCCTGAGATAGCCCATTCTAGAGGGGTTAGGTTGGTTATAAGTGGGTTTCTAGGACTATTCACTGATCTATATTAAAGAGAAATTATTGGAGTTGTACACTCCTCGGTGCCTTAGCAAGGTTTCTGAGTTATACTTTAGTCATTAAGATTTTATTGTACAATATCCTTCGCAGTGACCAATGTGACAATGAGGTTCCCGAGACACTCACTCCATAGCAATTATGATTACAATAATTTTCTGAGGCTTTTCTATTCATAGTGACTCTTATTATAGGAATATTCCTGAAATAGATTTTTTCCCCATAGTGTTAAGTGTTAGGATGGAGTTCCTGGAATGAACAGAACTGAGCTGGGCATTAGGGACAGACTTAAATCCCGGTTCAGTCGATATGTTAGTTACTTTTCCTAATGCAGTGACCAAATATGTGACAAGAAGCACCTAGTGGAAGAAAGGGTTTATTTGGTTTGAGGGCACAATCCATTATGGTGGGGAAGGCACAGCAGCAAGAGCTTGGGGTCACATTTTGTCTGTAATCAGGTAGCAAAGGTGAATGCTAGTGTTTCTCTTACTTTGTCCTGAATATGTCTTGGATCCATCTTCAGAATGATGTGCAGCACACTCAGGGTGGGTCTTCCCATCTCCATTAGTTCAGCATATCAACTATCTACTTGATAGGCCCAGAAGTGGCTCTAGACTCTGTCATGTTGATGATCGGCATTAATCATCACTGTCACCAACTTCCTGTGTCCCTTCTGTGAGTCCCATTCTTTCTTTTTCTGGGCTCCTTTACCCATCTGTTCAGGACCCTTGGTTCCTGATGACTTTTATCTAGTTGAGAGTATTGGGACGTACTCTCAACTAGATAACTAGTAGAGGGGAAGAAGATCAGAACCTAGAGGAGTCTCCAGAAAAATCCAAACTGTGACAAGTATTCCTCATGGTGGCTAGTGTCTTCTAATGTCTAAAGTCTCTTATTTATGTCTTCTCGTCTCTTTGGTGTGAGATACAGATACTCAGTGACCCCCAGTGCCTGTAGGATATCGATGGGACCAGACAGGACTGTGATAAGAATGCTCAATTAAGTATCACCATGGGACTCTCTGGCCCCAGCTTGGGTGACTCTGGCCTTAATCTTCTTTCTCTCCAGTGATTCTTCACAGTCACCCCCTACCAGTCCTTTCTCTAGAGTTTGGGTTTTCACTTACTGAAGCTGACCAGGGGAAAGCATCAACAGACATGTATGTCAGCATAGGGCTGCTTCAGGAGGACCCATCTGTAAGAACAAACCAAAGGCATGAATGTGCTTGAGAAGGGACAGGATGGTGAATGGCCCCTTTAGTTCAGACAGTGGGCAGGACTTGCAGTCCTGACAACTCTTGGGACCATCTGAAGCCAATGCTGGTTCCATCCAGAGGAATGGCATGCCAGGAAGATGTGCCAACCAAGAGGTGGGCCTCATGTTTTAAACAGATGATGGGGAAAAAGCCACACAGAGCCCTGGCCCTGAACCCCAATTAGCTGCGCCTCTGCACCTGACTCTCCTCTCTTGTGTGAGAAATATACTCCCAAGCCGTTTTCTCTGTGTGTAAGTGTCACTTTGGGGTCTGCTTAGGGACAAGTAGAAGGGCAAGATACCGTGCATCTTAGTTGTCGTGACAGGAATGTCTGACTAATGTAACTTAAGGGACAAAGGGTTTATTTAGACTCAAACCTCACAATGACCATCTATCATATGGGAAGTCACAGAAGCAGCAGCCTGTCACATTGCAGCCACTCTCAAGAAGCAGGGTGATGAGGACATGCTGAGCAAGGCTAGCCTTTCTACGTAACCCAGGGATTGGTACCACCCGTAGCGTGTGTGTGTGTGTGTGTGTGTGTGTGTGTGTGTGTGTGGTGGGGGTCCTCTAACCTCTATCAAGACAATCCCCTACAGGCACGACTAGGCTGGGTGGTCATAAATTCTGTTGAGTTGACAGTTAATACTATCGCAACACTTCTTGAATTCCAGAAGGTTCAAAGTTCTGACTTCAGAGGCTGAAGGATCCCAGGACCTTTATGACAGGCAGCCATGAGTAGGCATGGTAGGCCTATAGTTTTATACTGTTGAAGCCTGAGAATAAGGGTAACACCTGCCTCGTTGGGTGACCATGAAAAAATGCAGACAAATCTAGTTCAGAACCTGGACAGTGCAGCAAATGCCTCAGATTGTCTAATCTGCCAGGAAAGGGAAGAGCTGGAGCAAAGATGAGGAAGGAGAGTCCCAGAGACCGAGACGGGAGCCCTGGGTCCGTGAGACCACACATCTCCCTCCCACCCCTCACCTACAGGCCCTGAATGAACGGAGAATGGGCATTATGTGCACTTCAGCTGCCCCTTTTCCTAACCTGGAAGAGCAATGGTGGCTGGCCCAGGCAAGGCACAAGCCCTGGGCTTGATTGGCAGGAGCTGGTCAGTTCCCAAATAGGCCACTAGAGGGAAGACATGATACTGTTAACACATATTTCCCAGATAAAAGCCAAATCTGTTGACAGGAGTCAGAATTCCTAGTTTCCAATTCCAGTTCTTCAGGGAGTATATTTAACCTCACTGTGCCTCATTCTCTCCACTGAGGACTAATAAAAGAAATAATACATTCACTTTTACTCTCACCAGCCAGATTATTTTCATTAGCGTATTTGATTGTAAAAAGTGGAGGCTTCACGACGGCGTCCACATTCAGGTGCTTTGGCCATATTAACGCCCGCTCACTGTCCTTTCCTTCACCTTTCTTTCCCTTTTTACTTTTACATCATATACATGGACACACACACACACATTCTCTAACAGGTTAAATATTATTAAGAATAATTTATCATGGGATGACAGAAAATGTAAAAGTGTTTGCATGGCAGAGGAAGAGATGACCAGAGTGAGCTGACAGCAGACAGGAAGGGAGAGCATCTTTGCCAGCTATGCCTCCAACAAAGCATTAATGTCAAGCTTGTAGAAAGAACTAAAAAATTAATCTTTTCCCCCGAAATCTTTCAATCACTAAATGAGCAAAATTATTGAATGAGCAGTTTTCAAAAGAAGAAATACAGAGGGGCTTCTTTTTGGAGAGCTGAAACCTATTTATAGAATGGCTGCTGAGGAGACTCCTGAACGCAGACGAGACGAGCATTAGTTGAGCAGCGTGGAGCAGGATGGTTCAGTCGGATCGTGAAAGACCGAGGGACGTGCTCAACTCAGCAAACTGGTGGGTGGCAGGAATTGCCAATGAGGCTGTTAAGTTTCCAGTTTTCTGGGCAGCAGATAGTGAGGCAGACACACCTGCACAGTTGGAGGAGGACGAGGAGGAGAAGGCCAGCAGCAAGCAGGAGGTATCTGCTAACAAGTGAACCTATCCCTTCACCCCAAGACATTTCCAACTAGAAATGACGGCCAGCTTCACCCTGGCCTCACTACTACAGGATGTTTTTTTTCCCCTCTGTCCTTTTTTTTTTCACCCCCACCCCTTTGATGGGACAGGAAGTAAGTGGTTTATGTGCACAATCACATTGTTCTTTTTTTTCTTTTCTTTTTTTTTTTTTTTTTTTTTTTTTTGGTTTTTCGAGACACGGTTTCTCTGTGGTTTTGGAGCCTGTCCTGGAACTAGCTATTGTTCTTTAAAAAAAAAAAAAAAACCTAAACTTAATGGTCAATCTTATGTTTCTGTTGACATTAAATGGAGAAGGCACGGAGATGTTCTGGTTCTGTGGAAACCCTCTTCTTTATTAACGACACATCCATTCATCTTGTAGGCTTTAGATTCCAGTAAGTTGTTTTGTTCCCATTGTCTCAACAACAAAGACCCAACAGCATAATAACCCTTGCATACTTTGATTGGAGAACTTTGGTGTGTTTCATTTGGTATTGTAAAAGGACAAGTTTATAGATTTTGTTGTGCACAGCTGTTACATGTGGGGCAACGCATCTTTAAGTAGGCGTAAAGTGCTCTTTAAAATATGAGTCTTAGATAGTTTCCCCTTCAAATCAAGTGTATTGTTGTTTAAATCATTTTTATTTTGTTTAAAATGGAGAAAAAATAAGTACAAATGACCAATAAATATTTGGAGAAAATGTTCAGTATACTTAGCTGTCAGAGAAATAAGCAAATCGAAATTACATCAAGGCTGTAACACACCCCAGTGAGATGCAGATGGCTGTGATCAAGAAAATAAATGACGACCAATGGTAGAAAAGGTGTACTGAACGGAGAACACACCCACAAACACACACGCGCACGCACACATGCATGCACGCACACACATACATGCACACACACATACGCGCACGCGCGCGCGTGCACACACACACACACACACACACACACACACACACACACTGGTGCAGCCACCATGGAAATCAGCATGGTCCTCAGAAAACTGAAGACAGAGCTGGGCATGGTGGCATACACCTTTAATCATAGCACTTGGGAGGCGGAGTCAGATGGATCTTTGAGTCTGAGGGCAGCCTGGTCTACAGAGTAAGTTTCGGGACAGCCAATGCTAACAGAGAAACCCTGTCTTGAAAGAAAAACAAAAGAAAACAAAAAACTGAAGCTAGGACTCCCATATGACCCATCTGCTCCCTCCTAGATAGAGACCTGAAGGAAACCGCACCAACGCACCACACAGACACCTGTACAGCCATAGTCACGGCTACACTATTCACACCGGCCAGGACATGGAACCAGCCTGGGTATCCATGAATGGATAATTATCCTTTGATCCGAAAAACATTCTGGTGTTTATATGTCCCAATTTTGTTTATTAATTGTTCTTCATCTGGTGTCCACCCAGGAGTCACGTGATAGTTGTTTTGGGTTCCTGGCGACACTCTAAGGGATTCCCTCAGCTTCCTCTTCCACCAGCGGTGCTTGTCTCTCCATCCACATCCTAGCAGTATTTGTAGTCATTGTTTCTCTGGATGACACCCTTTCTGACTCCGGGTGGGAAGCAATCTCAGTGGGAAGAAGCATAACTTCTTTTCCAAGTATTTCTTGGTCACTTGTGTTTCTCCTTTTGACAACTGTCTGTTCGTGACCCGTGCTCTTGTACTGACGGGATGTTTCTTTGGTCCTTGAGTCCCCTGCATTCCAGATGTTGACTCCTTGCCAGAGACTCTCTCCCATTATCCCTTCACTCTGGTGACCGCTTCCTTTGTTTTGCAGAAACCTTTGCCATCATGGAATCTCATTTCTCAGTGTTCACTCCTGTGCTCTGAGCTACCGGAATGGGTTCCCGAGAACCTATGCCTGTATCTTCTGGGAGTTTCAGAGTTTCGTATCTTACATTTAGATCTTTGCTCCACTTTGGACAAATTTTGGAGTAGGATGAGGGATAAGGATCTCGTTCCTTTCCTCTACATTGAATACCGAATTTACTATCATTTGCTGAGAGTCTTTAATTTTAATTATTTTTTGCTTCTTTTATTTTTAAATAATGTGTTGTCAAAATGTAGGCAACTGTAGCAGTGTGGGTGTATTTCTTTGTCATCCATTCTATTCCATCGATCTGTATTTCTGCTTTTATGTCGGTATCATGGTGTTTTTGTTACTATGGTTCTGCCATGCAGGTTGAGGTCAAGTACTGAGATCCTGTCAGCATTGCTTTGCATTGCTTTGCTGTGAGTCGTTTTATCCAGTGCTGAGGGCTACCCCAGCAGGTTCTCTAAGAACTGAGGCTCAGGGAGATTAAAGGTCAGGTCCATTTCCACACAGCCAGAAGGAAGGAGAATTTAGGCTCAAACACAGGTTTTCTTCAGAAGGGAGAAGCTGGAAGCAGTGTGAAGGACGCCCTGCTGTGTCCTAATAGAGCGCCCTGTGCTGTCTTAGCTTCTGTTCCCCGACTAGTACCTCAGTGGTTTGGGTAGGAAGTGGGGCTCCTTTGTCATTCTCTGGCTCTCTGACTCTACCCTGAGGAAAATGTGTTGTGGCAGCCCAGAGACCACACCCTGAAGCCCGTGCACTGAAGGGGCAATCTGAGCCTCTGGAGTCTCTCCACCAGCACAAAGGCTCCTTTGAAGACAGCAGACCCATGCTTAGTAAGCAGGCAACAGCATTTGTTTTTCAACCTTCTCTTGTCAGAGCTCTCTTTGTGAACGACTTCAGACACTCTGCTGGCCTGAGGGAGAAGCCTGAAGCCAGACACCTGAGCGAGGATGGAGAAGGGGCAAGTGGAGTCAGCCTCAAGCCCAGACATGAAGGCTCAAGCAGAGAGCAAGGCCTGCAGCTCCCAGGGATTCAGCAGAGGCTCCTGGGAATCCCTCTACCATGACATGTTTTCTTCCTGCAGGTCATACTTGACAGGACTTGGATTATGCAGATCTGTCATGGTGTCCTGCACAGCCTTAATAAAGTGTCACGCTGTGGACAGAAAATTAACTAGAGCAAGTCCTCTCCCCTGTGTGCTGCTGCTAAGAATATAAGCAGAAATTGGCTCAAGTGTCTCTCGATTCAGGAAGAATAAAGGTCACGCTGGATTCGTGTCCGCCAGCTTCCTCCTACCTCTGTCCCCAGTTCAGCCAAGGTTTTACCATCCACACAAGCCACCTGTGTGCTTACTACAGCTTCGGGCAGAGGCTGCGAGGTGGGGAAGAGATTAGTGGTATGGGAGCAAAACGCTCGTTCTGGGCACACTTACTTCTTCACCTGTGTGGTTTCCATGGTCTCTCCTGCAGACAGGTCCCCAGGGGGTCTTCCACGGACAACACTAGAGGAAGGTAGTAGACGGGAACACTCACACCCTGGCCATTTTACCCCTAGCCATGCTCTCTTATTCATCCACCCCTCTGCCCTTCTGCCATGGCTTTCTCTGTGGGAACAATATCTTCACATTGAACCATGGGTCTTTTCCTTACTCTGGTTGCTACGCTTAGTTTAGAGGTCAGCGTGTGACCCTTACAGGGATGATGGGAATAAGTTTGAGAAGGCTTGAAGAGATATCAGGGAGAGATGTCTGCTTTCTGCTGTGGTCACTGGTTACTGGTGGCTATCTCTGCCATCCGCTCGGGCAAAGTCGGCTTGAAGTCAGGGCAGAAGAAACCAGATCTGAGTCACAGAGAAAACATATCCTGAAGGTTTCCTTTGAGTGCTGGAATCCATAACATTTCAGGACCCTTTACTCCTTAACTCATGTCGGGCTGAACATTCTACTTTACAAGTAACCCAAGGAGCCTGACAAATGCAATTGACAAACACATTCCAGTTTGTTCTGTAGAAGTTGTCATGGGAAATGAGAGAGGAGTGACAGGCAGAGCTGTGTGTGTGTGTGTGTGTGTGTGTGTGTGTGTGTGTGTAGCAGAGAATGAGGTGGCTACAAACAAGGTGCTCTAAAGGACAGAGAGGATTTACAGGTGTGACATGTGGACATCCTCAGGCCTTGTTCTGGTGCCAGGAGGAACTGATGCAGAAAGAATGAGAGGTCATTTCCTGGAGGATGTCACTGTGGAGAAGGTCTTCAAACTTGTTCCCTCCTCCATAGAAGTGATTGCCAGGGTTCCTGCTGCCTCCCTCCCCGAGGATGGTCATGTGCTTTCTGCAGCTGGAACAGAAGCCTTGGGATGGATGCATGAAGGTTCATAGGAGGGAGGGATCTGGGTCTCATTTCCAGCCCCATCAATTCAGTCAACTCCTCAGCCTATTCAGCAGCTGTTTCCCTACCTTTACCAAGAATGGTGTTATTGGGTCTCACCAGAAGCCAGCCGGTGGTTGTGAGCATAAAGAAGGAAGAATGAGGGTCCTAGTCTGAAGGAGTCTCAGGCTGGCAGAAGAGAAAAACCAACACACATTCCTTCAACCAACTATGTCTTGAAAAAGAAATACATTTGTATGTAGAATTTTTTTCGTTGGTACAGTGATCAGCTCTGTTCTGCTGCCACTTTCCAAATAATCACTCAGAAACTTATAATTAATTTTAAATGTTAATCCAATGGCTCAGGCTTGTTACTAGCTAACTCTTACAACTTAAATTAACCCATTTATATTAATCTACATTCTGCCAAATGGTGTTACCTCTCTTTTATCTTGCACCTTCTGTTTCCTTTCTGTGTCTAGCTGGCTACTCCTCTGACTTCACCCTTTTTCTTCCCAACATTCTCTCAGCCCTGAAAACCCTGCCTAGCCATTGGCCAATCAGCTTTTTATTAACAATGATGGCAACACAGTTTTACAATGTACAAAAACATAATTTTAACAGCAGTTCCTCCTTTTTTTTCTAAATAAAAAGAAAGGTTTTAACTTTAACCCAGTAAAATTATATACAACAAAAACAGTTATCTAGTTCATTCGTATCTGGCAAATTTAGGGAAAACATTCTATTATTTATCTTATCTTTGTGAGTCTGAAATTTTATAATTACTTTACCTTTTTATCATAACTAAGGAAAGCTTTCAATCTAGTTATTTAGTCTTTAACTTTATCAAAGATCCCAGAAGGATGTAATGTTACCTAACAACAAGGACATCTAGTTGCCTGGACAGTCACCCATCCAAAGTTCTTCTGTGACATTGGAGCACCCAACTTTGCTCTATAGACCCAGAATATATAACGGACATTTTTGAGAAGCAGGGGCTTTTGAAGGACTGTCCTATCTTGTCTAGGCAACATTTGGCAGTCACTTTCTTTTGCATCCTGCTGGTCCAGTTTGGACAGTATACTGTCAACAATTGAGGCAAGGGCAGTTTCTGCTCAAATGTCTAGCTTTTTCCATAAAGAAAGCAAACTCCATATAGAGTTTCTTTGATGCACATCATCCTCTTTTGAAGCAATTAATGGTGCATATCTCACTTTCATGAAAGCCTTGGTTATTAAACATGTTAAATGACATATTCTGTAGGTCTGAAGTGTTTGAAGACTATATATCCATCTTAATAGATCTGTTTAACCTTGAAAATATACCTAATATGATAACACGCTTGATTAGTATATGTCACTAACTACTAACTATATTTCTTAATATATATTATATTTTAAATGAGCTGCAGAAGCACAATATCCCAAACAAGAGTATATACAGTATAACAAAATTAACTTTGAATTTTTATCAGTATACCAAAATCCATACCAATGGAAAATATTTTGAGATTAATAATTAATTTGGGATTAAAATAGGTTCAATAATCTATCTCATCATTTGAAGAGGTCTTCAGTCACACATTGTCTCCATAATACTGTTCCATTGTGTTAACAAGTCTTTTTCCCCCAAAGGGGAAATCTCAGAAATTTCTGAGGATCCTCTATTTCAGTAGCAGATTGAACGCCATACTCACAAAGTTAACTTCTGTGTCCCAATACATTTTGTAGATACATGGCCAAATATTCAGTCAGTATTCTTGGCCCAGCTTCAGAGTAAATAGTTCTCACTAAGGTCTGGAAATTTGTGTAACAAGTCTATCAGGAAGGCAGAAATCACCAACCATCACCACAATCCCTTTCCTTCTCAGACTGCGGCATGATGACATCAGGGAGTCAGAAACACAAGTTCAGCAAACTCTCACTCCAACTCCTTTAGGGGAAGGTTGGAGCCCACAGAATTGGATCTGTTCCACCTTGACTAAAGATCAGTGAGTTCAGGATTCTTGCTCCTTCCAGGCTAATGACAGGAGGTTTTTGACTTAAAGAGTGACTACTAACAGTGTCTTGGCCTAGGGTATGGTTACTTGGTGTTCTGGGTATTAGGATGGTGATTACTTTGTTTTTTCCTTGTTTGTATCACGGTAAAGAAGTCTTGCTTTCTGTCCACCCTTTTGGATTTGGATAAGTAAAGTGCATGAGAAATAAACACGGGCAGATTCTGTATTCATTGGGTTGCTCTCCAACTCTATCCTGTGTCTCTGTCTATTTCTTTTGTATGTCTGGTTTTTTATTACTAACATTTATTTATTTAATTAAAAAAGAAAACAATTTTTTTTTCGTTTTACATATCAATCCTAGTTCCCACTCCCTACCCTCCTTCCATTTCCTCCACCTAACCCCCATTCCCATACACCCCTCAGAGAGGGTAAGGCACATTGCTTTGCAGAAAGTCCGAGGCCCTCCCTACTATATCTAGGCTGAGCAAGGTGTCCATCCAAAGAGAATGGATTCCAAAAAGCCAGAACAAGCAGTGGGGATAAATCCTGGTGCCACTGCTAGTGAGTGGCCCCACAGTCTACCCCAGTCATACAACTGTTACCCACATTTGAAGGTCTAGTTTGGTTCTATTCTGGTTCCTTCCCTGTCTGGCCAGAGTTAGAGAGCTCCCATTAGCTCAGGTAAGCTGTTTCAGTGGGTGTCACCATCACGGTCTTGAAATCTTTGCTCATATTCTCACTCCTCCCACTCTTTGGACTTTGGGAGCTCAACCCATTGCTCTGCTGTAGGTCTCTGCCTCTGTTTATATCAGTTGCTGGATGAAGGTTCTATAGTGACATTTAAGATAGTCATCAATCTGACTACAGGGCAAGGCTAGTTCAGGCACCCTCTCCACTATTGCTTAGGGTCTTAGCTGGTGTCATCCTAGTGGATTCCTGGTAATTTCTCTAGTGCCAGGTTTCATGCTAGCCCCATAATGGCTCCCTCAATCAAGATATCTTTTTCCTTACTCTTTGTTTTTGTCCTTCCTGCATCTAGAAGATCCCATTCCCTCAAGTTCTCCTACCCTTCCCCTTTTCCCCTCCTCCTTCGTTTCTGCCCTTCCTTCTCTCCCAACCCCCATGTTCCCAATTTTCTCAGGAGATCTTGTCTATTTCCAATTCCCAGAGTTATCTATATATGTTTCTCTTAGGGTTCACTTTGTTACATAGCTTCTTTGGGGTCATAGACTATAGGCTTGTTATCCTTTGATTTGCAGCTAGTATCCACTTATGACTGAACATATTCCATACTCATCTTTCAGGGTATGGTTTTCCTCACTCAGGATTTTTTTCCAGTTCCATCCATTTGTGTGCAAATTTCAAGGTGTCATTGTATTTTACCACTGAGTAATACTTCATTGTGTAAATGCACCATGTTTTCTTTATCTATTCTTCAGTTTAAGGGCATCTAGGTTGTTTCCAGGTTCTGGCAATTACAAATAATGCTGCTATGAACATAGTTGAATAAATGTCCTTGTAGTATAATTGAGCATCCTTTGGGTATATGCCCAAGAGTGGTATTGGTGGGTCTTGAGGTAGGTTGATTCCCAATTTTCTGAGAAACTGCCATACTGACTTTCAGAGTGGTTGTACAAGTTTGCATTTCCACCAGCAATGGAGGAGTATCCCCCTTACTCCACATCCTCTCTAGCATAGGCTACCATTGGTGTTTTTGATCTTAGCCATTTTGACAGGTATAAGATGGTATCTCAGAGTTGTTTTGATTTGCATTTCCCTGACAGCTAAGAATGT